TGGATATAACAAGTATTCGTTTCATGACTTTTTGATTCAGGCTGTTGCCCATATAGAAACACAGCCTTCTAATAAGGAGTACTTTGAACCAAAAGGATCACTCGATAAACAAATTAAAATGGAAAATAAAACAAAATAATTGAGTTATACTATGCTAATAAACAAGAAAAATGTATTGTGTATAATGTTATTAAATATTAATACCTATATTTTAAATTATATAAGATTTTAAAATAAATTAACTGATAATAATATATAAATACCTACTTAATACAGCAAGAAACTGCTTGAAGTATATGTGTGTTATCATAGGTGCTAAATTACAAAGTAAATTTTATTGAAAAACTACACTCATAAACAAACACGTAACTACTAAACTAATGACAAGGGATTTCAGTTCCGTAAATAATATAAACTTATTTTATTTTAAAATTATTTATAATTGTATTTACAAAATCAAAATTAAACAGAACAATTTCTCTTTTGAATGATTTATGTGAAAATTTTAAGTCTTATTTCCTTATGAATTTAATAATGAATTATAATTAGAYTATATAGAAGTTTAAATTTATCAGTTAGACTATAAATTCAATATTATCGACTAATAATTTATGCATAAAAATATCCCCAAAAAAAAAAATAAATAGTTTTATCACCCATGCAAATAACGATAGTAATTTACAATAGAAAAAAAAATGTAAATATAATTTTTAGATATTTTAGTTTCATTAGGACAAGTATAAAAATAAAATAAATTTTAAAATGTTTGAGATTATGATTAATATTGCTGCAATGTGGTCGGGGGACCTTGTTATGATATTAGCTATCCAGGGAACGTTTTMTTTTCCTTATGGATAAGTTTTCCGTAGCTGGGGATTAGAGCACTGTGTATGAAGTATTTCATCAATAATAAGATACGTTTAGTTTATAGATCAATATTAATATTATTGTATTAAAAATTACTAAAAAAAATACTTTACTAATGTAGATGGCTGTTAATAAGTGTATTTGGTGAGATCGCTCCTGTTGATGGTGACTGTCGAACTAACTGCTGTGTGTCATTTTAATAATAAGTAATTATGTGCATGGGTAGAAAAGTGTTGARTGTGTATATTATGTATTAGTCAATCATATAGTGTGTGTTAAGTGTGAGTATAATATATATACTATACATATTATATAAGGTGTAACGAATGTTACATTGTCAAAACTTAAACTATAAATACTTATTAAAAAACATAGTTTAGGTATGTACCTTTAATATTTTCAAATGCTTTAYAATAATTTATAAGGATTATTTTGTTTTATGACCCAACAAAACAGCAAAAGAATTGACTTTTATAGAAAACATTAAAAAACATTTTAATGTCTAAATAGCTCAAAATAAGTCAAAATATTTTGAAAATGTTATCATGTACCTACAGTAAATTATAAAATCAAAAACATTTGTCGTATGCGCCACGCAAAGGCTTGACGTAGGTATATAACAGATATATTTCGGTTTCCTATTCTCTAACCGTTGAATGAGTAAATTATCGACACCTGTTGTTTGAGTTTTATTTAAGTTCACCTTTTGGTGACCACGATAACGAGGGCTGCGCAAAATGATAATTAAATAGAAGTCCAACAGGATTTACACTACACAACTTTAATGTTACTTTACTCCCGAACAACTGACCACGATAACGAGTACTGGATGTTCGAGGGTGAGATATCTTAAA